ATAAGGTGGCAGCAGGAAGTCCAGCAGGACAGCCTGGGGCATTTACTGACTTCTGGTCTGGCATAGTCACTTCTGTCAACTCCCCTGCGAGCTAGTTGGTTTCTCTCCGTCTCTGTCTCTCTCTGTCTCTGTCTCTCTCTGTCTCTCTCTGTCTCTCTCTGTCTCTGTCTCTGTCTCTGTCTCCCTCCCTTCCTTCCTCCCTCCCCCTTCCCCTCTCTTTTTCTTTTAAACCTCTCTCTTTTAAACATTTTATTTAGGCTGTGAATGCTGTCCTTGTTTTGTTCTTGCAGTATTGGGGATGAAATCCAGGCCCTTGTGCACACTAGGTGACCGTTCCACTGTTGGTAGCCAAAGCCTTGCCATCTTCTCTCTCTTGCAGCCCTCGCCCCACCCCCGCCCTGGTCTCATTAGAGAACTTTCTCCTATTGTTACTGTTGTTGTTGTTATTTGTGTATGCCTGAGATACTATGTGTGGAGGTCAGAGGACAACTCGTGGGAGTTAGTTCTCTCCTTCTACCATGTGGGGCCTGGGGAATTGAACTCAGGTTGTCAGGCTTGGTGTCAGGGGCCTTTTCATACCGAGCCATCTTGCTGGCCTGAACTTTCTCTTTCTTTTTAAAAATTATTTTGATTTTAATTATGTGTCATCTGTGTGGGGATATGTGCACATGAGTGCAGGTACCCTTGGAGGCCAGAGGCCTCAGACCTCCTGGAGTTGGAGTGAGAGGCAATTGTGAGCTTCTTGACATGGGTTCTGGGGACCAAACTTGGGTCCTAGGGAGAGCAGTATATGATCCTGACTGCTGAGCCATCTCTCAAGCTCCCTTTTAAACTTTATTCTGTCTTAATTTCTTCTTCTCTTAAAACCATTGACCCTATTCTCTCCTTTCCTCTCATTTATTTTTCTTTTTTAAAATTATTTTTATTTTATGTGTATAGACGGTGTGGGAAGTCCTTCTGTTTATTGTTGCTTTTATTGGTTAATGAATAAAGAAACTGGCTTGGCCTGTGATAGGGCAGAGTAGAGCTAAGCAGGGGAAACTAAACTTAATGCTGGGAGAAAGAAAGCAGAGTCAGTGAGAAGCCATGTAGCCTTACCGGAAACAGATGCTGGAACTTTACCTGGTAAGCCACAGCCTCATGGCAATACACAGATTAATGGATATGGGTTAATTTAAGATATGAGTTAGCCAGAAATACACTTAAGTTATTGGCCAAACAGTATTGCAAATAATATGGTTTCTGTGTGATTATTTCAGGGCTGAGCAGCCAGGAACAAACAAGTGGACTCTTACAACATATAGATGCTTGCCTATGTACATGTCTATGTACCATATTTGTGCATTTGTGCCTATGTACAAGTCTGTGTGCCATATTTGTGCCTGGTACTCAGAGAGGCCAGAAGAAGGCATTGGATCACCTGGAACTGGTGTTACAGGTGGTTGTCAGTTGCCATATGGGTGCTGGAAACTGAACTCATATCCTCTACAAGAGCAGTCAGAGCACCTAACTGCTGAGCCGTCTCTCCAGCCCCTTCCTCTCATTTCTTAGGAGCCTCTGGGTTGTAACCTCCCAGGACAGGTTGCTTGGCAATCAGCTCCTCAGTTACCAGCCTCCCTTGGGAAGGGAAAGGAGACACAACTTCTACCTTGCTGGAGTTACGACCCCAGACCTGTCAGCTCCTTCTGGTGTAATTGAAGAAACATGTAGACTCTGTCCAGCCTCAAGGGAGGGAAGGCAGAGGTTTGGGTAATTGAGATGCACAACACTTGGTGGTGGAAAGAGCCTGCTAGCACCCTCTTGCAGTAGATGTCTGTAAACATATTTTCTGCAGCTGCTCAGCCTGCCTGTGAGCTGTTTCTCTTCACAGGTGTGTTCATGTTCATTAGGAAAAAAAAATGGTGTGGACTTAAACGTCTCACCATCCTCAGGAGGATTCAGGTACCAGGATCAGACAGCCAGGAGCTTTGCTTGCTGTGCTTTGATCTGTGTTAAGCTGGGTTCAGGAGCTGTAGGGTTGGAGATGTCCTTCACCATGGGTTCTCAAAGGCCAGCTTGCAGACAGACTGAGGCAGAGGCTGAGACGTGGCCATGCCTCTTTTCTGACCGTCTATGTTGAGTGTATCCTCTCCCCATTTTTTTTTTTTTGTCACCAAAGAAGAGAGAGAGTTGTCTTGGTGATGTTCCAGGGCCCTCTTCATGATGAAGTGGGCAAACTTGGGGCTCAGGAGAGCCAGGTGTGTAGGTCTGTTCCAAGTTTACATTTCTGGTAGCCAGTATGGCTGATATGTAAGTTCTGTGCTCTACACCCGAGGCAGCCAGGCAGGAGGACCTTCTACAAGGGAGAAAATGGCTTTCTTGGTCTAGGCAGACCTTTGGCTGATTGGCTGTGACCCTCCCACAGGAGGAAGACAACCTGCTGTACTCAGTTGGCTGATTCGAATGCCAAACCATACCACATGCCCTCACATGCATGCCAGGGATAATGACCACCAAACTCCTGGGAGCCTGAAGGCCCACTTAACTTGATACAAGAATGTTACCTGTCAATTCTGGAGGGCAGGTGTCAGTGGGTAGTTCCTTCTGAGGCTTGTTGGGAAAAGCCTGTCCCGGGCCTGTCTCCAGACAGCTATTGTTTGCTTCCTTTCCCCAGTTGCCTTGGGTTGTAAGACATCTCTGTCTCCACACTTCCCTTTTATGGCATTCTCAGGCCCTCACTCGGGAGGGCGTTATTGTCACCAGACAAGGCATTGCTTTTTATTCTGCCTGGTACAGGATGGGAGAGGTAAGATTGAACATGGGGACAGTCTATGGGCTGTTTGGTGAGGATTGGGGGAACCTATATAGATCAGGATATCTTAGGAAAAAAGCCAAGGGAAGGAGAGGGGATCAGACATATCCAGGAATCTTGAAAGCTAGTGAGGCGTCTCTAAGGAGCACCCACAGGAAGGGGGCAGGGTCAAATTAGCTTTCTAGAAAGATCTTCCTGTGGCAAGTTGGAGGTTGTATTGAAACGGGAGGCCAGCTTGGAAAGTCCTGCAGTAGTTTAGGCAAGAAACAGAGTTGGAGGAGAGGAGGGGCCTTGTGAAAGAGACCGGTGCCGTGGGTGCAACCAACATGGTAGAGAGGCTAGGAAAGAGCTATTGTGGTTGTGATACAGTACCCTGCAGAATTCCAGCCTCCCTACCCTTAACCTCCTTTCATCTACCTTAGTTATGTGCAGTGCTTACCAGTTCCCAGTAGATGGCAGGAGAGAGATTGAAGAAGGCCCCTTGGTCTAACTTGCACAGTTCCCATACTGGCTAGGTCAGAATCCGCTCAGTTGGCCCATGGATTTTAGTTTTGAAGGGCAGGGCTTGAAGACATCCAACTTTGACTCTAGACAGCACCAGGGGGGCTGATCCCAAACTGGGCGTGACAGATAACTGATGCTCATATCTTGATGAACGTATAGGCTGGCTCCGTTTTCTAGTTATTATGAACAGAGCAGCAATGACTATGGATAGGCAAGCATCTCTGTAACGTGTTGACTTAGAGTCCTTTGGAATATGGTCAGGAGTGGCATAGCTGAACTTATGAAAATTCTCTTTCTAGATTGTTTTTTATGGGCCTTGATGCTGATTTCTGTAGTGTGGGCACAGGCTTGAACTCCCACCAGCAGTGAATAAGGGCTCCCCTTTATCCACATCCTTTCCAGCATTGGTTGTCATTGTTTTCTTGTTGACAGTCATCCTGTCTGGGGCAAGGAGGATTCTCAAGGCAGTTTTAGTTATTATTTTCCTAACGGCCGAGGAAGCTAAACACATTTTCAGTAGTTATGGGCTGCTCAGGCCTCCTTTTTGGGGAAGATGTATCCTTTTCGTCAGCTTGTTTGCTGATGGGATGATCCTGTTTCGGAGATTAACTTTTTGCTGAGCCCTGCCCCTGACATTCCTCAAGTTGCCCGCAGAGGGCACTGTTGCTTGTTGGAGTTTTGGACCTCTAAGAAGCCTGGATTGTCACTGCTCAGTTGATTTAATCTTTTAAACATTTTTTTTTCAACGTATGGTTAGAGAATTTTTTCACTTTATGGTTAGAGAATTTGAGGGTAACATGTCCAGAGCTAGGGTATACAGCAGATGGGTTCTCTGGCTCCAGACCTGGCTGCCATTCCTGGTGTTCCCGCCTCTCACAGCTGGACCTGTGGGATTTCCCCTCCCAAACATTTCCCCTCTGTGTGGTGACTTAAAAAACAAACAAAACAAAACAAACAAAACGATAAAACTCTAAGTAACAGTTCCTCTTTTGTTTCCCTGGCTGTCCCTTTCCTCTGACACAGGGTCACTGTTGCCAGGCTGTGTTACATTGACTGGCGATAATGACTGTCAGGGGTCCCCTCAGAGACCTTCTCAGTGATTCCTGTCCTGTCTCCACATCTGGGGCCAGAATAGGATGAAGGCTAAGACCAACGGACAGTCAAACAAAGCGGGGTTCCTAACCAGGTCTGAACATTTCCTAGCTGCATGGCTGTTCACATATACAACCACACACACACACAATACATACACACACATAGAAACACACATACACAACCACACACACATACACAACTACACACAGTTTTAAGTCTAGATTTTGCAGATGAAAGGACATGACAGGTGATGTTTGTCTGACTTCTTTTGCTTAAATAATGATCTCTGGTTCCATCCATTTTCTTGAAAATGTCATGATTTCATTTTTCTTAGCAGCTGAATAAAATTCCACCGTGCACACAGGCCACCTTATCTCTACCCAGTCATCTGCCGGGGCACATCTGGGTTGGTTCCATGTTTTGAATGAACAGCACTGAACACGAATGGCGTGTTGTGTCGTATGTGTTTACCCAGTGGCGTAGCTGGGCCATACTGTAGTTCTATTTTTTTTTCTTTTTAAAAACATGTATTTATTTAAGGTGGGAGAGGGGATTTGCCACAACACATGGGAAGGTCAGGACAACTTGCAGGAGTTGATTCCTTCCTTCCAAAAGACAATGGTTACCTGCTGCAGAGCAGTTGGCAATGCCTTAACCATATGCATATTACTAGGCCAAGGGCGTCTTCCATCCTTGTCAAGGGGCATGCAGATCTTCTCTCCTTTCAAACAACACACATTTTTAGTCCCCTGAAACTTCCATATTCACTTCCATAATGGTTACACAAATTTACATTACAATCAACTGTGTGATTTTACATAATTTGTTTAGCGTCTCTGAGCTTCTGTTTCTTCATCTGTGCATTGGGGTCCATAATCTTTGAGATCTCACTGAGGTACCTTGATAGGCCAACCATTGTGGTACACAGCATCTGCTTCTGTTAAAGTGACTTTTATGCACAATACCTGGGCTCACCTGTGAGCTCACCCAGCCACCCCTAGCATCCCTAGTCTTCTGTCTTCTCAGGTTCTCTAGAATCAGGTGAGAGTGAATATCGCAGCTTCCCTGCTCTGACAGCTCCAGAGAGAGGGGTATCTGGCATCATGGCCTCGGAAGCCGCTGCCGACTGTCACATGGTGGCCTTGGAAGCCGCTGCCGCCTCCTCCCCTGTCAGTGTGCAGCTTTTCATTATTGTCCCTTTTCTGGGATGAATATTCCCAGGGGCCGCCTCAGAGTCTTCAGCTCTTGCGCAGCTTCTTTTAAGGATTCTCTTTGGGGAATTTAAAGCGTGCCAAGCGACATGGACTCCTAGCTTGGTATTCATCCCGTTAGTAACTTCACATCTGTCTCTGAGGAAAGCCACTGTTTCGGGAGAGCTTCTGGGAAGTCCTAGCTCTGGCTGACCCTTCCTGACTTCACACGAGCTCCCTGGCTGCTGGCCTGGGATGTGCAAATGGCCCAAGTTCAGAGGGAAGATCATGAAAGACATCTTTTTGCCCTGCAGCAGTGGGAGGCTTGGTGGAGGAGGGTGGTGGCAGCTGCAGGGGCTTTCCCTCATATCCATTGAACCTACAGTTGCTTCTTCCATCCCACCCAGCCTTGCCCTCAGTGGGAAAATGAGTCTGACTATGGGGTAGATGGTACAGGAAGGTAGGGAATCCTTAGTCTATGTTACAAAGACGTTTTCTTCCCTTGGTGAGAGCCTCCATTATCAAGGTTGAGTAAATGAACTTGGTTATTCTGGGAGGGTTAAAAGCAAATTGAGAACCTAGAACTCTGAAGGGGAGAAACCAGGCAAGCCGAGTAGATGGCTGTTCACAAGGCTGTTGCCCTGACCCCTGGCATCTGCCCTATGCCTCCACCCTCAAGGCCTTCATCCCAGCGGATGGAACAGGGTGGAGGCTTCCAGACCACTTCCAGCCTTGGCCCAGAGAACCCTTGTGCTTCTCGAGACTTCCTCTCTGCTCACAGAAGAGGAGCCAGTGGCTGAGAGGCTCCTGTGGAGATGGGGTTCCTGGTGCACAGGGAACCAGGACAGAAAGGTGATTCACGCAGTCACATGATTAGGTGTAAGCCAGTGATGCCTTTGTCCCAGCAGTTCCAGATCTCCTTCAAGTCTTTTATTTGAGGACATCCTGGTGTTTTCAGCCTGTTTTCTTAGTTAGAGTTTCTATAGCTGTGATGAAACACCATGAACAAAGCAATGTAGGAGGAGAGGGTTTATTTCACTCACAGTTCCATATAACAGTTCATCATCTCAAGCAACAAGGGCAAGAACTCACACAGAGCCGGAACCTGGAGGCAGGAGCTGATGCAGAGGTCATGGAGGGGTGCTGCTTACTGGCTTGCTCTTCATGGCTTGCTCAACCTTCTTTCTTACAGCAACCAGGACCATCAGCCCAGGAATGGCACCACCCACAATGGACTGGACTTTCTCCATCAATCGCTAATTAAGAAAATACCCTCCAGGCTTGCCTACAGCTGGATCTTATGGAGGCATTTTTTTCAATCGAGGTTCCCCCCCTCTTAGATGACTCTAGCCAGTGTCAAGTTGACAGGAAACTAGCCAGCACATCCGTGTTTGCTGCTATAATAAATACCACAGACTGGGTAACTTACGAAGGGGTGGAAATTTTTATTTCTCCTATTCTGGAGTCTGGAAGGTCTAAAGTCAGGGCGTTGGCTGTCTGGTGAGGATCCTGTCTCCTCTTTGAAAATGGTGGCTTGAGCGTTGTGTCCTCCAGAAGGAACACTGTCCTCATATGGGGACAAAAGGGACGATTCCCTGTCAAGCTCTTCTATAGGGACATCTGATCCCAGCCTGGAGAGTCCCCCTGTCAGGATAGTCTTACCTGTGAGGGTCCCGCTTCTGAGGGCTCTCATATTGCTATTCGGTGTCACTGCCTGGATCCTGAGGGGGTGCGTCCAACCACTTCAGGCGCAATGAGTTTGCACAGATGCAAGGGGGCCCCCCTCAGAGTCAGACAAACACCTCACAACACCGTGCAGTTGGAATCAGAGTCCTGCACCCGTCACCACGTCACCATGTCAACTATGCTTCCTCATGTGAATTCACACCGAGATAACTGAGGGCTGTGGGGAAGCAGGAGTCCCCATCATGGAAGGATGTGATGTTCTTGAGTAACTTGGGTTAAAATCAGATGCAGATTTAACTGGTGGAGGGACTGAGTCAGAGGCTGGAATGCCACCATCTCAACACAGTTTATAACATCCAAATTCACTTGTTGGAACCCAGGGCTCGGAGGCCTTCTCTTTGTTAGCCCTCAGAAGGGAGCACAATGGATGAAGTTGGAAACCAGGTACTCTTCCAGTGTGAGGACTCAGGATACTCACCTACATCCTTCATTAGGGCATCAGGGTCTGTGATGAGATGAGGTTTCTCATGACAAACTCATACCCACTTTGTTAGGAAAACCACAGAGTCAAATGGGCTGGAGACTAAGGCCCTGTGGAGAGGGGCCTTTTCCAGGTCCGCGTGACACCTCTTTGGTGGCCAAAAGTGTGCCCTAATGTTTTAACCTCCCTTTCCACACTGACCTCTGACTGAATAAAAGATATAAGAAGGGAAGGACATGACTGCTCCTAGGCATAGTGGAAGAGTTTCTTGCAGATAAAAGGGAGAACATAGGCAGAGACAGGGACATCTGGGAGAGCCCAGAGTGGCCATGACCTTGACTGAGCTGGGCTGTGTGGGAAGAAGGGGAGGGGAAGGGAGACAGAAGAGAGGGTAACCAGGTGCAGCATCCAAGAGGGCTGGTAACCAAAATGTCTGGATTAGTAGGGAAGAGCCTCTGGGAGAAGGGCTGGAGAGGTAGGGAGTAGAGGGCGGGTATGGCAGCCCTCCTGTAACAGGTGGGAACTGAGGGATGCTGGGAGAACCTGGCTGCCAGCTCCACTTTGATATATGTTAAATAGGCTTCTCGGCTATTTGTCCCAGAGTTTGAGACTTTTCAACCTCCTCCCACATTGTCAGGCTTTCAGAAGAAGAGCTTGGGCCTAGAGGACTTGATGGACCAGTCTTCCTCCCCAGAGTGTAGTGATTTCTCACTAGCAGCATATTCTCAGTGGGGCTCCAGAGACAAGCCGCAATGGGGAGGGCTGAGTTCATGAAAGGATGCCTTGTTATGTCTTTATTTATTTTTAAAGCACCTGGTCTATGTAGCTCACACTGGCCTCAAATGTGCTATGCGGTCAAATGCAGTGCAGGATTGAGCCCAGGGCTTTTTGCATGTTTGGTAAGCTCTGTATCCCCTGAATTATGTATGCAGCCCCTATTTAATGTAATATTTAGATCCTGCTATGGTCTAGGTGCTGAGACCTTCAGTGTATCAGGTGAGGAGGAGTGGAACTGTCTCTTGGTCCCAGGGTGAACAGCCCATCAGTTTCTCACTTGGAGGGGAAGGGGGCTTTATATGAAACACATGGAAAAGTTAGTGAGAGAGCCAGGTACCTTAGCCATCAAAGGACAAGGCTAAGGCGACTGGAAGCTTGAAGTCAGCCTGGGAGACATGGCAAAACCAAAATCAGAACTCATACAAGAAGCCAGGGAGTGTAAGGGCCATTCAGGTCCTCTGGACAGGGCGTGCGATTGATCTGTATCAATGTCCGAGTGATAGACCATTTAGGAGACAAATGCTGATAAGCATGGGAGGGAGTGGGGGAAGCGGAGGCCGCGGGTGTGGGCATACCTGTCCACGGGGAAGGGTAGCTCTTAGGGAAGCCAGATACTTTGAGGGGCAAATTTGCTTGCTGGGGAGGAAAGGGAGGCAGGGGAATGGGGGAAGGACAAAAGGGTGGGGAAGAGCACACCCAAGTGATCTGATCACTAGTCCATTGATGAAAGGAACCTACTGACTGTGAAACAGCTGCTTACCCGTGAGCTTCTGGGTGATTCTCCTATTCCGACCTCCCATCGTACCATGTGAGCAGGGAGGTTACAGTGTGTGCTCCCATGCTCACTTTTTCTGTGGGTTCTGAGTTGTCAGGCAGGGGTGGCCAGTGCTTTAACCCACTGAGCTGCCTGGCCTGCCCTGGGCTGACTTTCTGAGAAGCTCCTCTCCTCGTGCAGTGGTTAGTCCCTTCGTCATGCCCTCCGTACTGGATGTGCCTCTAATATCTGCTGCTGGAAACCCTCTCCTCTCTTAGTATCTGGCTTGGTCACTTCTTTGGGGGTTCAGACCCCATAATTCAGGAATAGTGAAACTCACTATGGTGGTTTGAATGAAAATGGCCAACCTTAGGCTCACACGGAGGGACACTATTAGGAGGTGTGGCCTTGTTAGAGAGCTGTGGTTTTGTTGGAGGAAGTGTGTCACTGGGGAGGGGGGTAGGGTTTGAGGTTTCAAATGTTCGAGCCAGGCCAGCGTCACTCTCTCTTCCTGCTGTCTGCCGATCCACATATAGCATATCTTGGCTCCTTCTCTAGCACCAAGTCTGTGTGCTACCACGCTTCCCACCATCATGACAATGGACTAAACCTCTGAACTGTAAGCCAGCCCCAATTAAATGTTTTCCTTTATAAGAGTAGCCGAGGTCATGGCGTCTCTTTGCAGAAATAGAAACCCTAACTAAGACACTCTCTAAGGTGAGCACAGATAAGACCCAGCCATCGTTCACATCCTAATACCTGTGAAATGAATACTTGTAAGAAAAAGGGTATTGGGTTGCTAATGAGCTGATTTAAAAATAGGAATATTATCCTGAGTCTTCTGTCT